AGTACTTTAAAAGCTACTTTCACTGAGAGACAAGTTTTTTCGAATGATGTAAAATTAAGATTAATTCAAGTATTTAACTTGACTACATTTTATAGAACTTAATATCACAAATTAAATTTAAATAACTTATATCAATTAATTTATGTGCTCACTCATTAAATGTCATAAAATAAAATTTAAATTCAAATATATGTTAAAAAATATCTTAAAATTAATTACAAATTGGTTCATGTTTAACCAAAGCAGAGGAGTGACTTGTCTGGTTTATAACAAAGAATTGATTTTGGCATCTGTTTGTGTGTTTTAATTAAAATATGATTTTTGAAAGTGAAAAAAAAAGAGATTGTATTAAGAAATTTTGGGGAGGAAAATTGGGGAGGAAAATAAAAGAAATGGATTGAATGGCAACATTTGAAGGGTTGGAACGGAAGAGTGGTGAAAAATCTGCCAACTTCATATCGATAAATGTCAATCCAGCTAGCGTTCGACAGCAACTGCCGTGGGGACAACCCCTCAATCCTCATCTTTGAAATTGACGTTTCCTCATTTGCATTTGTGTCCCTTTTCGAACAATGAAAATTAATATTTCAATCCATAATCATACATATTATCAAACTAATTTCAACTCATACTTTTTAGTTTTAATTCAATTTTTTTTTCAGTTTTTACTTTATCTTTTTAATTAATATATAGCTTTTATTAATTGGAATACGAGTAAAAATTTAAATTACTACATCATTTTTATAATTAATTTTTATTTAAAATCTTTATTACATAAAAATTAATACGTAATATGTAAAAACAATTGGTTAAAAATATTAAATTTTAAGTATTTATATGATGATAAAATTGTAGAATTAATATAAAGTTAGTACATTTGTAACTTAGTTTAATCTCAAATTCGCTCAATTGTGAGTTAGTTAAATATTTATCAGGACAATAAGATGCTATATGCTTAAAGAAAGTGTTTTATTTTAGGGTTTAGGAATAGAGAAAAAAAAAGTGTTTTAAAAGACAGTGCATTAACGAGAATTTGAGACAATGCTAAACAGATTTGTAAATAAACAGTAATGTAAAAGTCCTGAGAAATTTTATATAAAAAATTATCTGCTTTGTTTTTATTTTTAAAGGAATTATGACTTCAAAGTTTTGCTTAACCAAGACAATGATCTTAGCGAGTATTATAAGGGTATATTGAATTTAAATAAGTTTTGAAAAGTAAAAGAAGAAAAATAATCACGAGAAGATAAGTTTTAAAATTATAAATAAAGTAGGAAAAAAATTGGTAATGCAAAATGTTCAGAGTTATAAAAAAATATACACAATTAATCGAAAAGAATTCACATTTAAAATTAAAAAGAAGATTAAGGATAAATTACCACTTCCGAAGAAAAACTTGTTAAAACATCATGTGACTCTTAAAATAATACATTTTAATTTAATGTATAAGCATGAACTCAAAAGTAATAATTCGATAGTTAGTTGAGATTTAAGAGAAAAATATTTTTTAATGTTAAAGTTGAAAAAGAAAATATAATCTAACTTTTAAGAGTGATAAATTGATAATTTTTTTATTATAGAAAATAAATAATATATTCTATAATATTAAAACAAAAACAAAAAATCTTATGGTTTAATTAGCTCCCTTACACTCCGTGGAAACATTCTACAAATAATTAATTGTCAATAAAATTTGGAAGAAATAAAATTTTGAGGTCAATTAGGCTAATGTGATTTAGATGTGCCGACAGCATTAACAAAAAATTATATGAATATAATATTGAGAAGATTTTTTAAGAATTTAACTCGTTTTACACTCACTATATTGAATTAAATTTTTCCTTTCATATATTTGTTTCTTTGTTAACACAATTTTAAAGAAAATTATATATATTAAAATTATTTTAAACAATAACATTTAAAAAATATTTTAATACAAGTAATATCCATCAAAAGGATAAATATTTAATAAAATTAAATAATTTTAAAATATAATTTATTTTAAAATAATAGTTTTGTTGTGTAGTGTAAAAAAATAAATTAAATATAAATAATTAATATATAGTAATAATTATAAAGGTAAGATATAAGACTCTTAAAAGTAAATTTTAAAAAATTAGAACGATTATTTTTATAAATGTAAAATCAATTATTTATAAAAAAATTATACAAGATAATAAGTACAAAAATAATTAACAAATGTAATCTATAAAATTTAGAATAAAATTAACAAAGATGTAGGTACAATGTAAAAATTTTGCAGTAGGAAAAACTGCAACTCAATTTACACGTCATTTCTAATTAATTTTAATATAAAAATATACTAGATCTATGAAAGAGAGTAACTTCACTCACATAAATAGTAAACACCCATTTATAATATAGAAGTTGATAGATTGACAAGGAAAGTCTTTGATGATTAGTCTCTAATTTTGTAAACATCAAGTAAATTGGCTCCTAGTAATTTTAAATGGATTCATTAATTTTTAACTTTGTTAAATATTAAATACTTTAGTCTAACTAATGATTTATATCATAATGATATTAAGTTTGCAATTAAGTAACACATAAAATACCAAACAACATCATTTCTTACAATTTTAAGAACTACTTTGGTCAATTTTTGTCAGTTATTAGTACCATATTTAACAATCATTTCTCTTCTTATTTACACTGTTTAAACGCCATTGGTACCTCCTTACTATCTCTCCTTCACCAAATTCACTTCTTACACCACCATTTGTTCAAACTCTCCTCCCTCCTTCCTACCTCTTTTCTCCTCAGAATTATACTTCTATAACTTAGTCTTTTTTGGTAGTTCACATAATCAGTGCTCTCTTCTCAGAATTATATTGTTGTAATCTCGTGTCCATAACTAAAGTAAAATAAAAGAAGAACAAGAAAAAATGGTGGCGATGAGTACATTGAAGTTTCTCTCCCTTCTTATTCTTGCCACAAATCTCCACCAACCTAAGTTTTAGTCTTGTTTTTCTTCTTTGCAACATCACTTTCTCTCTCAGGAGTTTGATGCTAGAAACCAACGCCCATTACACTAACAAGAAGACGATATGAGACAAGTTCTAGTGCATTGTATCCAGGAGATGAGGCAAAATAAGAGGGTGTCAAGGAGAAGTCCAATAAGGCAACAACATTAGAGGGTAGGAAAAGAGACATGAGAATTATGTGAGGAACAAAGAGTGAAAAAATATTAACAAGGAGAGAAAAAAAATACAATAATAAAGATGGATGAAATGGTGTAAATGAAAAGGAGATAAATTTGAGATAAGCAGAAAAAATGACATTATTTTAATATTTTAAATATTATTTAATAGTAAAAGTTAATGTTGTCTGACAAAGTAAAAAATTAATAAGTACAATTAAAAAATTTAAAAATAAATTTATCTGACACTTACAATCTCAAAATATAATTTAAAAATTTACTAGATTATTGATAAATACGAACATAATATGATCTTATTGTTTGAAGGAAAATTTTTTAAGTTAAAAAATTATATTAAAAGAAGCAACATCTCGACAAATTTTAAAAGGTCGGAGAAGGGGCTTCTTTCCTGTGCAGAAAGTAAACTTGAATTCAAGAAGCACTAAAGGATGGATTAAACCCATTACTCGAAAAAGGCAAATTTCGAGTAATTTTAGAAGTTTTTCTCACATATCTGATTTTTCTCAAAACTGCATAGAAAACAAGAGTAATAAATTATTTTAAGTCCACAAAACTAAAGGTCTTTTCAAGGTGTTTTCGAGGATACAATCAGAAATTATTTCAAGTCCACGAGACAAGAGGATTTTTTTTGAGAAGTTTTTGAGTAGCCCTCAGGTTCCTTACACTCAAAATTGCTCAGAAAATAGAAATAACAAGAAAATATTCTAAGTCCTTAGGACGTAGTCTTTTGAGGAGTTTTTGAGGGTTTTTTTTCCTGACACACAAAAATTATTCAAAAAACAGAAAGATGGCCAGAAAATATTCCAAGTCCACAAACTTGACATAGCTCTAGATCATCTCTAAAATTGCTCGAAAACCAGAAAGCGGTTAGAAAATATTCGAGCTTCGTATTCTCTCCAGAATTGCTTGAAAAACAGGAATGATCAGAGAAAGTATTTGAAATCCACGAGGCCAAGATACGCTCTCAAATCCCCAGAATCAGTCGAAAAGAGAAGTCAAGAGGAAAATATTCTAAGACCATAATGCTAAATGAGCTTCCTAGATTTCTCTTGGAAATTTATCGAAAGAGAAAGAATAAAAGGTCCTGATAGGACTCAAAAAATATTGTAACGTTTAAAAGGAGCTGCCAAACAGTTACCACCAGACAAAGGTTCAACAATATGAAGACAGATCGTGGGCAATAACAGTTATAGGAGAAGCCCCAACCGACAACATGATCACAAGCCATCGTGAATAATGGACATCAACAGTTGAAGGCAGTTATTTAGAAGTGCCTGCTAAAGGAGGAAAACGACGATGATCCTTCCTATAAATACTTTAAAGCTTCGCTTTCTAAAGGACTTTTGGCACCCTGACACCTGCACGCAAAACCTCTGCATGCTGAAAACCTGCATTGCACTAGACACTAGCTATCAGGAGACTCACGGTGTTACTGTTCATTGCTAGGAGTCGTAAGTTTCAATTTCTGCATATTTACCTTTCCGCATTTTAATTCGAGTTCATTTGCTTTTTTTCTACAATTTGGTTTTTGTTTTAGCAAATTATTGTAAAAACCTCTACACTGTAATCCAGTTTTATATTATTCCTGTTTAACAATTTGTTTTGCAACGTCCATTTAATCACAACATACTTAAAAGAACCCAAAGAGGACCTAAATCCAGTGCCCAGATTGCTTTTGGATTACTTGTTTACAAATTGTCATTTTTCATCGTAAACAAATTGGCACGCCTATTGGGACAGTATTTTTGTGTGTGTTACTAAATGCTTGATTGCTTTGTTGCATGATATTGTGTAACGGACGTTGTATTATGGCTAATAGAGGAAGAAATAGCGATTCTAATTCTGGGAATGATAATTCTAGAAGTGACGGTGGTAACAACCCAGAAAATGTAAGCGGTGGTGCTAGTACAGCCGCACAACCAACATCAACGATGGCGTTACCTATGCTGTTATCCCCCGTTGTCAACCAGTTCATGGTTACTATGCCTAATCCCGACAGGAATTCAGGTCCAAGGCCAAGGCTGGGCGATTAGGCATTCGGTCTACCTCTTGCGTCCATGCCACCCATTTTCAGAGTACGAACCTACTCCAACCCTGTGGTGACAACTATGTCACCCCAAAGTCACACCATTCCTCTGAGAATGAGTGTGGTTCATACCATTCTACTGGGAATGGGAACCATTGGCACAATATCAGGATCCCAATTTGCATTTGGAGCTTCGAGTGGGGAATCATTGCCTGCTAGCTCCTTCTCAAACATCGCCTTACAGTCTATGAGGTAGCAAATGGATAAGAGTAATCATGAGATGGTCAATATGCTGACCTATGAAATGACTACTGTGTTGAATCTCATAGTGGAAACCACTAATACCAGCAATCATGTTTTAGCTGAATAAATGTGTCAAATTGCTGATGTATTTGGGGCACCTCAAGTCCTTATAAGACAAAGGCAAAATTTTGCCCAAAATTCTGGTCGAAATGGACCTAATTTTGATTGAAATGGTCAAACCATCGAGGAAACTGGTCGAAATGTCGATCAACACATTCCAAGACAAAATGAGATGAATTTTCAGGTAGACCAGCCTTAGAATTTTGCTCGAAATTAGAGTGGTCCATTTGAGCAAATTGGTCAAAATTTTGATTAAAACATTCCGAGACAAAATAAGGGTGATTTTCAGGTGAATCAACCCTTCATTATATCTCGAAAATCAGAATGCTGATAAAATATTAGAGAAAGTTAGACAAAAAAATGTGGGGGCATCAACTTCATAATCAAAATAACTTGAATCCCCAAAATATTGCTAATGTAGTCGAACAAGCGTTGAACCAACACGAATTTGATGTAGAGTATGGCAATAGACCCTACTTTGTCTCAGCATTCTCTGAGGTGATTTTATAGGCTGAACTGTCTCGGGGCTGGAAAGTCCTGAAATTCTTGAAGTTTGCCAAAGAAACCAACGAATCCACCGTCGAACATATAGCTAGATATATCATAGAATGTGGAGATTTAGCTCGAAATGAAGATTTAAAATTGAAGCATTTTTCCTAGTTCTTTGACTAAGGGGGCCTTTACTTGGTTCACAACCTTGCCCCCAAATTCAATTTATAATTGGAATCAGCTAGAGAGGAGGTTTCATGAATAGTTCTTTCGAGGTGAAGAAAAAGTTAGCTTAATGGATTTAGTGAATATAAAAAGAATGCATAATGAATCCATTGATGATTATTTGAGCAGGTTTCGATAGATAAGGTCGAGGTGCTTCACCCAAATCCCAGAATATGAATTAGTCCAAATGGCTGTAGGTGGGTTAGAATACTCGATAAGAAAGAAACTAATTAACCAACAACTAAGAGACATGTCGCAATTAGCGACAAAAGTAAGGCAAATCAAACAACTTAAAGCTGAAAAGTATGCTCCAAGAAAAATTGAGAAATTACCTCGAAAACACAAAGTGGCTTACATAGGTCTCGCTGAGGGAGAATTAGGAAGCGAGAATGACCTTGACGAAAAAGACGTTGATTTAGGGGTAAATGAGGTGAATATAGGTGAACTAAAGCCTAGACCTCCCTATGTTTGTCAATCTTTAAAACCACTCGAAATTAAAGATAAAACTCGGCCGAATAAGAGTTATGCCTTTGATGTTTTTAAAGTTGATCATATTTTCGATATTTTGTTAAAAGATGGGCAAATTGTGTTGTCTGACAATCATAAGATTCCTACTTTAGAACAAAGAAAGGGTCAAAAATATTGTAAATTTCATCATGTTTGTGGCCATTGGACTAATAACTGTGTCTGTTTCAAGGAGTTGATCCAAGACACTATTAAGCAAGGAAGGTTGAAATTTGAACAAAAACTCAAAATGCCAATGAAGATTGACTCTGATCCCATGCAAGTTGAAGCCAATTTCATAGAACTTATCGACATACTAATAGTCGATGTGGCTGAGAGAAAGGATTTTGACTCGACTGTGAAGGAGGTCGAGAAAAGCAGAGATGTGGACGAAGCCCTTGAAAACTTCAAGAAGGAAAATGCTGAAATCTTCCCAAAAGTCAGGGATACATTGCTAGACTTCCTTAGTCGGAAGAAGGAAGCTGACAGCGAGGTTATGCTATGCCCCAGGTGCAGTGCTGTTTTCGACAAAGCAACAGCCAAAGCTTTCGAGCAGACTGAGATGAAGAAGCATTATCAGGTGACCATTAACCAGGTGATCACTAAGAACAAGGGGATCCAAACTCAAAACACTTCGGTCACTATTCAAGACCCCCAAATGGTTCAGAATAGGACCTTTGTACCTGCTCAAAATGTCCTGAGCAATAAATGGGTCAGAAACGTGCTGCATCCATCACTAGTTTGACCAAAGTGGCAGTGGGTCAAAGTAGGTGGCCCTTCACAACCAACAGTTGCACCCTAACCTATGGTTGTTTCACAACCTCAAATTTTTGCTGAAACTGGGTTTCATAACCCACTAAGGAGCTATTTTCAACCGAAAAGCCTTACTAGAAGGCTTTTATGACAAAGACTCAATGGCGAAGGGCTCAAAGGATCAGAAAAGCTGAGTATGAAGCACAAGCCTTAGCTCAAGTTCGAGCTCAAACCCAAGTCCTATCAGCCTAAGGAACTGCCGTCAGAAATATATGGCGCACCCTAGTTAGGATCGAGGTCAAAACAATTCAAGAAAAAGAGCCAATTGAGAAAAAGAACTTGAAAATGAAAAATCATGAGATTAAATACGACCCAGACAATGAATTGATTACTGATGTGTTTAAATTAGGATTTGACGATGATCTTGAGAACTGTTCGGAAGGCAAGTGTACTCATCGAGAAGTAATAAAGGGTTCTTAAATTAAGTTCCCAAAATATCGTCCCACAAGGATTGATTTTCAATTACTGAGAATTTTCTAATTCAATTGTTTAAGCTTCAAAGATACGAGATTACTTAAAAACAAGAATTTATAAAATCAATTATAAAACTAAGAGCAAGGAATACAATGCACGCCTTGGTTAAACTTATCGGAGAGGAACCTAGGGCATATAGGTTTTCTCATTCAATCCTTTATGTTATTTTTCTATTTAACTCTAAATTCAATTTCCTTGTAATTACCAATCATTCATACGAATACTATTAATACCCAATGGTCATGTAATATTAATATTCTTTTCTCTAAATTAACATCCCCAATGGTCATGTAAGACATTAATTTAAGAAAGCTTTAGGAGCCTACGAATTTGTTAATTTAATAACGATTAGAAGAGAAAGATTAGTTTGGTCCATCTAATCCTTTATCTCGTTTTACCCTATAGATCTATTAATTAACCGAGGTACGGTCGCCTGACAATATAATTAATTAGGATTAAGAAAGAAGCGCAATAGGATAAAATCTAATCACAAAACGGAAATCAAATTTAAATTCAAATATCAAAATTCCATAAATTCATGAACAATAGTTCCCATAGCCCTAGCTATGGACTTAGTTACTCATGCTAAAGAAAAAAATTAAAACAATCATAAACAAAGCCATAATAAAAAGAAATAGAAAATTAGAGTGTGAGATGTATTCCCGGTCTTCAAGTACGATCGCTTGAAGCTTCAAGTCTCGCCAAGCATGTGCCAAGGATCCCGTGCAAGAGATACGAGATCAGATGTATTCTAGAGACAAAGCCAAGATGTAAAAACGGTTCCTTTTACGATGCCTGAGATCTCCCTTTTAATAGGGTTTGAAAACCCTAAAGATTCTTCATAATTGGGCTTCCCGCAGATGAGCACGGCCGTGCAAAGCATTGAGCATGACCGTGCTTGGGCTCAAAGCACCCCCGTGCTTATTGAATGGGTCTGGACATGCTAACTGTTGCGAAGCTCTAATCTTCTATCAATTTGAGCCCAGAATGCACCCAAAATCCACTCGTGGCCTCTTTATACCAAACTACACAATTAATATATAAATTAATGTAAAATCCAAATAAAATAAAGGTCAAATATGAATATATGAACTGTAAAAGAAGGCCTAATTACAGACTTATCAGTTACCTGCTAAATACGTTGAAGGGATCGGCGAGGGAGATGAAGAAGAGACAATAATCCCTGGGGTTATTGTTATTTGGCGGAGGATGGTTCTTTAGCAAAAACTTTGGCTACATTCGAAAAGCCAACAAGAGAAATGAAAAGCCATATGAAACCGATATACATTGCAGCTCGAATTGATGAGAAGTTTCGAGTAAATAAAGTTCTGGTCGATCATGGGACGACTATCAACATCATGCCCAGTTTCTTGCTGAAAAGGATTGGAAAAGCTGAGGAAGATTTGCTGCCCCATAACTTGGTGCTAACAAACTATGAAGGAAAAACATCGAGTTCCAAGGGAATTCTTATTGTCAATTTAAGAGTAGAATCTGTATCCTGACTAACTATTTTTGTGGTGGTTACTTTAAAGGCAAGCTACAATTTACTGCTCGGAAGAGAATGGATCCACGGAGTGGGGACAATACCGTCGTCACTACATCAGAAACTATGCCTTTGGAACAACGATGGAGTACTAGAATATGTCGATAGAGATCAAAGCTACTTCAATGCCGAAGTACATATTATCAGTCTTAATAGTAAGATATTCGACAAATCATTTGCTAACATCGCATTGCTTCGTATAAAAGAGGTGGGCGGCCCACATTTCGGTCTGAACCCTTATCTACCCAGATCATATGAAGTACAATACCAGATTCGCTTGGATCCTTCATAGGTTTCTACAGCTTCTAAGAAAGATTGGAGGCCGAAAACAACGAGAAAGATGAAGTTTGAAGAGAGCCTTTTGGCTCAAATTTCGGCTTACATAGCTGAAAACAAAATAAAAACGACTCTTGAGGCCGTCAAAATTATGGAGGTCGATCAATCAAATTCGGCCATAAAAGAAAAACCAAAAATCAAAGGAACAACGAAACACAAAGATGTTAATTTGAACAAAGTATTTCAATTTCATGCAGAGATCAACATGGTGGAAGGTTCGGCTTCCTTAGCCGAAAGAAAGGAAGCGACCCTAAAAGCAG